ATTTCTTATCCTGGTAATGTTTTAATAGTTAAAAGAGGTATGTATTTGCACATTTAGGACATTGATTGTAATTTGGGAGATATTTTTGTTTTATATTACATATTTTAATAAAATATTATTGTATATATTACCGATTTTAAATATATTTAACTAGAGTTTAAGCAAAAATTGTTTCTTACGTTTATATATATACATATATAAATATATATATATATATATATATATATATATATATATATATATATATATATATATATATATATATATATATATATATATACATATATATATATATATATATATATATATATATATATATATATATATATATATATATATATATATATATATATATATATATACATATACATATATATATATATATATATATATATATATATATATATATATATATATATATATATATATATATATATATATATACATTTATATATATTTAATAAAATAATAACACTTAATCTATAATATAGATTAAGTGTTATTATTTTTTTTTTAGCATTTAAAAAATTTACAGCCCAATCAATAGTAGAATTTTCTGGTCAAGTATGTGTTTTTTATTAAATTTTAATTAACTTGGAGATTCAATATTTATGTATTTGGCCTACTTAAAACCATTTATGTATTGTTCTATACCTGTGTGTGCATTTTAGAGATTATTTTTTGTTACTTTTTTTTTTAGTAAATGTTCAAACGTTTTTTATTCTTTTCTAGCTGTATAGTTACAGACACAACATTTATAATTCTGGCGGGAAGGCAAAAAATAAACATTTAAAGTTTTACATTTTATAATAAGAATAAGATAAATAGATGGTAAATAAATAGTTTTAAAATTTTTCATAATTATTTATTTATTTTCAATTATATTTTATAGGAAACCTTATAGACCAAGACTTAATGTACCTTTTATCCAAGGATATAAAAGACAATCTTATACATGCTATTTCTAAATCATTTAATAGTCTTAAGGTAAGGAATTAATTTTTATCAATAAATATATACATAATTTTATTTATTCAAATAATTTTGTTCATAAATACATCAATAATATTGAATATATATATATATATATATATATATATATATATATATATATATATATATATATATATATATATATATATATATATATATATATATATATATTCTCCAAACTCCAAATATATATATATTTGGAGTTTATTATATAAATACATCAATAATATTGAATATATATATATATATATATATATATATATATATATATATATATATATATATATATATATATATATATATATATATATATATATTCTCCAAACTCCAAATATATATATATTTGGAGTTTATTATATATATATATATATATATATATATATATATATATATATATATATATATATATATATATATATATATATATATATATATATATATATAATATATATTCTCTATATAACTCCAAACTTTTGTATGTTCGTTCTTACATCAAATGAGAATGTTTTGCAAAAAGTTGTGGTGATTGCAGCTTGGGGACAAAAAAAACCCAATTTTTGGGCCCACCCAGCCCTTAATGTGGGAGCAACAAGTTGATAAAATAATTTTTTTAGTATTTTTATCTAAGTTAATATTCATCAACAAATTTTAAATTTCATCCAATAATTTCTTATATTTCGAAAATTATGACCATATAAAGTTTTAACCCCCCTCAATTTGAGGAGGCTGTAAACTTTGTAGAGTCATAAAAACTAAAAACTAAGAAGTTATTGTATGAAATTTGAAATTCGCTGATGAATATAAACTTAGATAAAGATACTTAAGAAATTATTTTGTCAACTTGTTGATCCCAGGTTAAGGGCTGAGTGGGCCCGAAAATTGGGTTTTTTTTGTCCCCAAGCTCAAATCACAACTTTTTGCAAAACATTCTCATTTGACATAAGTATGAACATACAAATGTTTGGAGTTTGCGAAATACGTTTAAGTGTCAAAACTCAAACATCTAAAAATCCAGTGTACACCACTGTGTATATATATATATATATATATATATATATATATATATATATATATATATATATATATATATTATTATTTTTTTTTTTTATTTGCATTCACTCCCAACAAGGCTGCAAGCAACCACTATTAAGTTGGGAGTTATCAGGAAAAAAAAAAAGAACAGATTTATAGAGCAAGAAAACGGTTGACAGAAGACTTGAAAAGTTGAAGGTTGTATGAGTCAGGAAAACATGAAGATGGGAGAGAGTTCCAAAGGATTGAAGTGCGGGGGAAAAAACTAGATGAATAAAAGTTTTTAGAGCATGCAGGGACAGATACAGTAAACGAATGAGACTTAGCTGAATGACGAGTAAAATGAGAATGAATTTTAGTTGATGGAACTAGAGATGATAACTCCTTTGAGCAGTGACCATGATAATATCTGTAGAAAAGAGAAAGAGATGCAACTTTACGACGATGGGAAAGAGGTTCAAGCTTAGCAGATAGTCCAGGTCCAACAACATTTACAATGCGTTTTTGGACCTTGTCAAGAAGAGAAAGAGAATCATTAGAAGAACCAGCCCAAATATGACAACAGTATTCCATACAGGGACGAATAAGAGATTTGTAGAGGTAGAGAATGGAATCAGAAGTAAGGAAATGGCGAGCACGATAAAGAGAAGCAACCTTAGCAGAAGCTAATTTAGCAATCGATTGTATATATGGTTTCCATGAAAGGTCAGTAGTAAGCCATAATCCAAGAAGACGTAGAGAGGACGACTCAGTAAGAGGATTGCCATTCATTAATATAGGAATGTTGACCATATTACGGTAGTTGTTTGCAGTAAGCAATTGGGTTTTTTTAGAGTTGAAATTCACAAGCCACTGCGAACCCCAATCTATTACTGAAGTGAGATCGGATTCAAGATCAGCTGCTTGTTCTAGGCGATCGAAAAGAGAAGACTTTTTGTCAAGACAGGAGTATAAAGTTGAGTCATCAGCAAAAAGAGCTACTTTAGATGAAAGGTTGTCAGGAAGATCGTTTATGTAGAAAAGAAACAAAACAGGGCCCAGGATGGAACCTTGGGGAACCCCAGAAGTTACTGGAAATAAAGAAGAGTGTTGGCCTTCAAGGATGACTTTAATAAACCGGTTAGAAAGAAATGATTTGATAATCTTAAAAACTTTTCCAGAAACACCATATGAAGCAAGCTTATGGAGAAGACCAGCATGCCAAACTTTGTCGAAAGCTTTAGATATGTCGAGAGCAATAGCCCTAGCCTCACCGCCTCCATCTAATGCACGGTAAAATCTTTCAGTTACAGCAGTTAGCAAGTCAGCCGTAGAGCGAGAGGATCGAAAACCGTATTGATTGTCTGACAGCAGTTTATTTGACTCAAGATGAGATGTGAGGAATTTGTTGATCAAAGACTCAAAGACCTTGCTAATAACAGAAAGAAGACTGATCGGACGATAATTGGAGGGGTCAGAATTTTCTCCAGAGTTTTAGAACTTTTCCACACTTGTGTGGTTAGGATGGTTTTCATAATGACATAAATGCCATTATGAGAGAGTTGAAACAATGTTTTACAATCGGATACTCTTCCTGACGTTAACATGAAACAGGTTGTACTGGATTGTATGTTACCAGTAGCAGGATAACCTGACTTGACGTAAGGATAACCTGACAGTATATATATATATATATATATATATATATTATATATATATATATATATATATATATATATATATATATATATATATATATATATATTTATATGTATATATATATATATATATATATATATATATATATATATATATATATATATATATATATATATATATATATATATATTCAATATTATTGATGTATTTATGAATGAAATTATTTAAATAAATAAAATTCGAGTTACACTGTTATTGGGTAACATCTAGTTACTTAACCCTGTTACCCGGTAACTTCTAATATAGTTTTAATAGTTAAAATATATTTTTGTGAATAATCAGCATGTGTAACTCTTTTGAAAAATAATTTTCTGTTTAGACTAGTGATTATACATTTAAAGTGTTGCTTCCTGAAGCAATAATGTATCTCTTTGCAAAAGTGGAAGGAATTTCAAGAATTAAAGTATGCTTTTAATGAATTAAAATCTATCCATACAACATATATACATATGCGTTTATATACATATGCGTATAATATACGCATATATATATATATATATATATATATATATATATATATATATATATATATATATATATATATATATATATATATATGTATATATATATATTAGGGTGGATCATAAAATTTTTTTTTCTTGTTACAAGCTCTAAACATTGCTAATAGTTATTAATATTGATACTATCAAATATGAGAATGATTGTGATAGATTTAAAGGGCGCAACTTTATTGGGAAAATTACTGGTACCCTAATATTTTGGAGAAAAAAAGTTTTTAAAAAGTAGGTCAACCTGGTACTCAAAAGAAGCGAAATTTTATAAAAAATTTGAAAATAATAATTGTTTTATAAAAAATCATATTGCTGAAAAAATTGTTATTAAAAAACAGTAACAATGGACCTTTTTTACTTTTAGTTAAAAAACTATAGTTATTATGCAATAAAATCTAAAATAATAATTTTTATATGAAAATTTTTTTTTGAATAATAATAGGGCCTGCTAATTTTTGTAATTATAGTTGGGGGTGGAAGACATTGTTCAATCCATAAAAGTAAATACTTTCCTAAATTAGTAAATAAAAAAACAACTTTCTAGACCATAGCCAGGTTAGCAATTCTAAAAAAAAATTTTATGACCCACTATAATATATATATATATATATATATATATATATATATATATATATATATATATATATATATATATATATATATATATATAATATATATATATATATATATATATATATATATATATATATATATATATATATATATATATATATATATATATATATATAATTTATTATACATTTATCAAATCAATTATATTTTAGGCTGAAGTATTGTTAAGTACTTACTCTTTACAAAGGTTAATTTGTAATTTTTTTATTATGTCATAATTATTTATAAAGCAAAAGTATTTCTTGACCTGCACAGCTAAAAAAGAAGTCATTTGTTTGTTCTTCTTTGTTGAGTTAGAATATTAAAAATTAGCATATTACTTTTTTATGGGTTCTACTGCTTATATTTAATAAATTAATTTTAATTGGTGATATTTGCATCATTTTGCAACTATTTACGAAAAATGGTTTAGGGTGAAAGACTTGTTATATGTTAATAATAATAAAAACTGTTTGTTTTTTGTTACCCTTAGAATCTATAATATATTTTTTTAATTAATTTTTTATAATATTTTTTCTTTTTTCATATCAGAACAACCGAGCTGTTGAATAAATTTTCAGATGATGATATAGATTTTTTCGGTAATTTATTACTGTTTGTTAATTTATAAAAGTAGTTTATACGCTTCCTTTTCATTTAAATCTTTTTAATTTAATTTTTTTGTATGTATGATATTATTTTTACTTTAGAAACAAGTACTCTATTTAAAAAAGGAGAGGTATGCCATTCATATTATTATTAACTGTGTGATTAAGTTTGATGATGATGATGATGATGATGATGATGATGATGATGATGATGATGATGATGATGATGATGATGATGATGATGATGATGATATGATGATGATGATGATGATGATGATGATGATGATGATGATGATGATGATGATGATGATGATGATGATGATGATGATGATGATGATAAAATGATGAAATTTTTTTTTTAATCCCAAAAAGTAACTATTTTGATTGCAGGTAATAGAAGACGGAAATACAAAAATTGAAGGGCTCGAAAAGATAAACAAGCAAGAAAGTGAAACATTGCAAATAGAACAGGTTAAATAGAAAGTGCTTACCCTCTACATAATGGCATTGTAAAGTAGAGAAATATTTTGTTGATTAAATTATTCATAATTTTTTTTGTAAAGCTACTTACGGTTAAAGATAAAAGAATAAGCAAGAATCATGTGCCAAGTTTAATTATTGAAGATGAAGTGCCAATAGAAGTAAACAAGGTATATGTCTATTTCCAGTGCTGTACCGACCGTTAGTTTGGGCGCTACCGTTTATACCACTTTTTCTTTCTCCCAACCTCCTTAATATGGAAACCTCTATACCAGGCTTCGTGGAGGAGGCCAGGTATGGAGGCTTCTATATCATGCCTCTTAAAGTATTACCTAAAGTAGTCCAGGGGTGTGGTGTTGGCTCTAAAAATGTAACATTTATTGACACTTTTTGATACCCCTTTGCCCTAAGACTGTCACGTGTTATTTGAACAGCCACTTAGTTAGAAAAATATTATTTTTTTAAATATTTAGCATAGTATTATATTATTTTAGAGTTGTAAAAAGAGAAGAAAGAAAGAATCAAGGCGTAAAGTTGATTGTCCTAAGTGTGGAGAGTAAGTTATACTGATTAGATTTTTATTTTCTTACTGATTCTTTTAAATGTTTATAAAAAAAAATTAAAATTTTTTTTATTATTCTGAGCTTTTACTTTCTACTGTTTATTTTCAACTTTATTTTTTCCTTAATTTGCTATCAGATCAGTTGCTCAATTAAAAAGACACTTAAAATTGAGAAAGCATAATTAGGATAATATTAAGGCATCAAATGCACCTTTAGACTTTGGGCTAAACCTTAAACGAAAAGTCTTATCACCTTCAAAAAGGCGTTCGAAGGTCCAAAAATACCAAAAAAAAACTTGTCCTATAAGTTTTTGTTTAAAGGAAGTACGAAGACTTGACAACTATTTAAGACAATATCGTAAAGTCCCAACAAAGGATGTCAAACCTCTACTGGAAAAAGCTACTTGTGTCTATGAACGATCAACAAGTGAATCCGAATCACTAACAGAATCAGATGAGAGCCTAAGTCTAGAACCTTATTTTGATAAAGAAGTGTTTCAACAAGGTGCAAATTTTTTAGATACATCAACAGAAAGTGATGAAGAGTGGCTAGCTTCACAATATGTGGCTAGTAGATTTAATAACAAAGGTTAGTTCTTAAAAACAAATGTTTCTAAAATCTTAAACCTAACTATGATATTTTAAACCCTTTTTTTTTTTATTTCGTTGCAGAAAATCTTCTTTGTCACTCAAACGATTTAAGTAATTCTAATGATTCCCTTGAATCAGCAGATTTTGAAGACCTGGATAATAAATTCTACATGACATCATCTGCCGAAGAAAAGTTCATGAATGAATTTGTTGATTGGCTTATAAGCATTGATGGAGGCCAGAAACTTAAACGATGTGCTTTAAAGCACAAAAGTGTAATATTAGGAATTGTTAGATATGAAAGTGAATTTGAAATCAACTACAGTAATCTAAGTTGTTCTTCTTTTCTGAACTTTTAGATGGAAAAGCTCAATCTCGGATCGGTAAAACATTTCTTAGATTTTTGTATTATAAAGGAAAGATTTGATATTATTACAAGCGAAAAACATTCAAAAATAAAAACACAAATTTCAAAGTGGGAAAAAACTCTATGGAAGTCCATTCAAGAAGGTTGGTATGAGAAGGATCAAATTGATCTTGAAAATTTTCCATCTGCGGAAGAAATAGTTATCTTAGATAACTCAGATATTGTTCTTGAAGCAAACAAGATTATTAATACAAGCAGCACAAACAAACTTACAAAAACTACCTTTTGTTTAGCAAGAGATTACTTACTTACTTGTATTACATTTGACAATGCTTCTCGTCCTGGAGCTGTATCGAACATGACTTTAAATGAATTTAAAAAATCAATAGAAAAGAAAGACGGTTTTATTGTCAGTGTAATGAAAGAAAAACAAGACAAGTTATAAAGGACCAGCTCATATTGTTCTCAGCCATTCGATATATTTTAAAGTAAAAAAGGATATTAAATTTATGCGAAATATGCTGGATGGGGTTTCAAAAAAAGATGATTCCTATGTTTTTTTAAGTTGGAGTGGAAGTCCTATTTCTTCATCAATGCTTAGTAAACAATTTTCATCTTTTTGGCAAAAAGGTACTGGTAAATCGTTTCTTAACCCAACAATTGTTAGAAAATACACCACAACTTTAGTACATGATAAGTATCCTGAGCTTAAGCAAAATACAGCTCATTTGCTATGCCATAATTTTACCACAGCTGAAAAATCATATGTCATAGCTGAGAAAAGGAACAAAGTCGCAGAAACTAGTAGGCAAATTCAAGAAGTCCAGAGAGAAACATGTTGACAATCAAGCACCTTCCTTGAATTTAATTTTTGAATCTGAAATTTTAAGGGGCAGTATAACATTGCCTAAAGTCCGTGAAAAATTTAATTAGTATTCTCTTGGTGATATATCGGATAGTAAAAAGGTGAAAAAAATTCTAGATGATGTGCGCTATTTAATTAAAAAAAACAAAGCATCTGATGATGATTTGGATTTTAATCCTAAGAACTGTTCAGATTTTGAAAATGATAAGTTTACAGTTGATAACCTTTCATTCAACAAACACAGTGATATTGTCCCATCTTCACCTACTACGTCATTGTATTCTAAAACAAGAAATCGGAAAGAGTATAGCCAGGAAGATTTAACTTTAGTTAATAAGCATTTAAAGCAGTTTATCGACTCAAACACAACATTGTTAAAAAAAGAAGTGCAACAGTATTTAGAATCAGTGCCAGAGTGCAATCCACTACTAAAAAAGTTTGGCTTAAGATCGTTAATTATTAAAATTTGTACAGAAAAAGGAAAACATTAAATATATTTACCTTTTTGGTGACATATATATACTTAAACTATTTTTCTTTTAGTGTGTTTATAAATATAAAATATATCTTTAATCATTACAGTTGTTTTTTTTAATTAGTTTTTTAGTTTCATGATGTTAAATGATAATGAAGTAAGATAATTAATAGGTTCCCTAGTTATTGGTCGTGATAGGTCCTCGTTAATAGAGTACATTCTCATAAAAATTGTTTTTTTTTTCATGTCCTTATCAAATAGAGAAATTTTGAAACCCTCTAAAAACCCTCTCTTGAAACCCTCTAAAAATGTAAAACTGTATAATAATAATTTAAAAGCAAATAATAGGCGCGAATTAAAATTTAAGTTTGCATATCGACATTAATAAACAAGTTAACTAGACGTAATTATGCAGAAAGCAGCCAGCCAACAATTTCTTTCCATAAAAAAGTTGGATAGGGGGCAAGTGACCCTTGATCTCCCTCTCCGTCTGGTGTCGTCGCCCCTGTCCAAATTAAGATTAATGTCAAAGAATGAATAAAGATTTGATTGTTTAACATCTAGGCATAAATGCTTTCATCTGAGAGTTTTTTTTCAAACTTCCTTATCCACATGCGTCAGTGTTGCCTAAATTTATTATAAACTTAATCCTAAACTTAAGGCCGCAAAGGTTGATTAAAATTCTTTTAGACTCCGCGCTTGAAGAAGCCAAACAAAAAATGTAATGTTTTTTTTACGTTTCCGTAAGAAAGAAAATACCGTAGCCCTCATGCTATGCAAAAAAAATATTAGAAAATTAATTTAAACACGTTAGCTATTATATATAATTAAAAACTTTTATATATTTTTTGTGTAAATAATATCAAGATAAAAACTTCATAAAAGGAAAACCTTACTTACTTTTGGTTACATAGTTGTACAAATTAGGCTACTTTGCATTGAAAAAACTCAGAACTCAAAATTAAGTTTACCACAACTTTAAATAAGTTTCCGTGAACTTTTTGGACGATGAAAAAATCTAATTTTCAGTAGTAGCAAATGAAATACTCGACCAAAAATTGTGGAATTTTGTGACAAGTGTAGGGAATTTGTTCCTTTTTAAGAAAAAAACAACCTTTTTATGACATATTATGAAAATTCACTAATAATCTGAAAAGCCCTTATGTTACCCATTGCTACAACTACTGTCATTTTGTGTAATAATTTTCTATCGTAACGATAAAAAACTTGATTTTTTTGTTAATAATATAAAATTATAAGATAGATTTTGTCAAAAACATTAAAAAAAATTAGACTTTTCAAAATTTGTCTCTCCCATTTTTACGCTAGACTGTTTAGTAACACGAGGGCTCCCGAGCGGAGTTATAGTAGTAGTAGTAGTAGCAGTAGTAGTAGTAGTAGTAGTAGTAGTAGTAGTAGTAGTAGTAGTAGTAGTAGTAGTAGTAGTAGTAGTAGTAGTAGTAGTAGTAGTAGTAGTAGTAGTAGTAGTAGTAGTAGTAGTCACCTTATCCAAGTTGTAAACATCTAAACTTGTAGTCTAACTATTTCAGTTTTTCTGGTATTTTTGTGGCTATGTATTAGCTTAATAGTGTGTTCATCCTTCACTAAATGAGGGTTCCAAGCTGTAGGTGGAGTAGAGTTGTTTCCATAAAGAAGCATCACAAGATTGGAAAGTGTGTTTTAGGATGCCTAGCATTTTATTTGCTTTACATGAGGCAATGATGGATTGGGTTTCTACTTTAAGATAATTTGTCATTTGAATTCCCAAGTCACGCTCAGAGGCGGTTGCTTCCAATGTAGTTTTAGTTCATTTTTTTTTAGCCAAAGTGGATGACCTTGGTTCAATGAACAATTCGGTCAATATCTGATTGGAGTTAAATTAAGAAGCAAGTGAGTTGACTCAGGATTTTAGTGTCATCAGCATAGATCTTACAAGTGTTTTCTTTGTATATTACATCCGGCAGATCGTTAATGAAAATGACAAGTAAAATTGGGCTCAATACTGATTCTTGCCGAACCCCACTTGTCAAAGGTAACCAATTTAATTGAGTGTCACCAAGGATGACTCGTTGAGACCTCTTAAGTAGAAAAGCTTTTATCCAATTGAGATTACCTTCGATTTCGTGATTTTCGATTTTTAGTTTTTAGAAAAGCATTCGTTGATGTGGCACTTAGTCAAATGATTTGGCAAAATCCAAGAATATGATGTAAACTGGTTGTTTTCTGGCAATATTTCCAGTCAAGAAGTCCATTATTTCAAGGAGATTTGTAATGCATGCTTTTTTCTCTAAAAAGCCATGTTGACTATTTGATAGAAGATTGTTTGATTTTAGATGCTGCATGATTGTCTTCTCAACTAGTTTCTCCATTATTTTACATGGAAACAAGGTGAGAGATATTAATCTGTTGTTTGATGGGTCAATTCTGGAGCCCTTCTTAAATAAAGGTGTTACATTTGCTTTGGACCATGAGTTTGGAATTTCACCATTGTCAAATGACTTTTGAAAGATGAGAGTAAGTGGAGTAGACATTGAGGTAGAACAAAAGCGTAAAACGTAAGGACTGACATTGTCTACACCAAGTGATTTAGATTTATCTAGTGATGAGAGTTCCATTAGAGTGGCCTGAGTGTCAAAAGACCCCACAGCTAAAATTTCTTTTGCCACCCATGGTTGTTTGTTTGGAGATGGTTTGTTCGGCATACAAGGGATGAATTGAAGACAACATTCATTGTATTTGTTTAGCCAAAGTTAGTAACATTGTTCTACATTTAAGTCTTGAAAAATAGATGACCAACCTTATTGAATTTTTCGTTGATTTTTTCATAGTTACCAAGGTTGTAAATAAACTTAGAGCTGTTGAAATGCTATAATTTTACGGTGGAAGCCAGCTTGTATTGCCAGGTGATAGAGCAATATTGATCAGACAAACCGAGTAGAGGACCGATGTTGATTTCGTTAGCAAGATATGGAGAGTCACATATTATGAGATCAAGAGTGTTTATCATAGGGCAATTATCAGGTTTGAAAGTAGGGACAGTGACAATTTGATGAAGATCTTAAAAAAGAGAGAAAAATGAAGAACTGAGACCGATTTTACTAGAGGAGAAGGCTTAATTGGAAATTCAAGTAATCTCTGGGAAATTGAAATCACCGGCAATGATGATACTATTGTATTTTTTGGTCGATACTGATGTTTCGGTATGGATAATAGCACTTGAAATCTCTGAGAAGAAATTATTAGTTTTATATAGAATTTATTAGTTTTGATATGGTAGCATCAAGCTTTTGAGAAGCAACCGAATGGTTACCTTGAGCCAAGCCTTACCTTGACCTAATAAAAGTAGTTATTTTAAATAAGCCAGATTAATATGACAAAATTACAAAAAAGTTTATTGTTAATATCTTGATAAACAATTTTTTTTTGGTTTAATTAACTCTAAACTTTTCTAAGGTTTCTAAGGTTTATTTAAGATTAATTTCTTACATACAGAACCATAAAAAAAAATTCTCAGTACTATATCTTTCAGACATTTTAATATATAATTCTTTTTACATTGGTATCAGAAGACCTTTAAAAACATTATTATATTATTTTAAAATAAAACTTTTATATAGAAACTTTGATACTGTAATGTTTTAGTTAAAATATTTGAATTTTTCATCAAAACAAATTGTTAACACTATTGAACAATATGAATAGAAATATGGTAAAGTAAAAAACGTAACCAATTTTCAAATTAAGACAAGCTTTTTTTTTAACAAAGTTTGAAACACTGTTCTAACAAACTGCAAAATAAATCGACCTAAAATAAAGAATATTTTAATGCCCACTTAATTTATGCTTTGATAAATAAATCAAACAACTTAGTGGATATTTTGAATAAATTTGAATAAAAAAACTATAAACTGCTATTTTTTGTTTGTTGGTATTTTTATAAATATTTATTTCTATAAATCTTTTTTTTTAATAAAGTTTGTTTACGTTTCTATAAATTAAAAAACACAAAATAAATATTTGAGGCACAAAATACCACAAATTAAACACAATTTTTAGGTTATTAAATTACAAGAATTATGTATACATATGGTTGCCAGATGTCCAGCTTTTGCGGAGGAGAATAGAGTGTCAAACCTGTAAAAATACATTTTTTTTACTGTTTTCTCTTTTGTAAAAGCCGGACCTCTGTATGTATACAACTATAAGCTTCTAAAACTCTATGCATACAACTTATTTTTTAGTTTACTATAAGCTTTAAATCTTGTAATTTAATAACCTGAAAATTGTTTTTAATTTACGGTTTTTGTGCCTTAAATATTTCATTTGTGCTTTTTAATTTATAGAAATGCAAACAAACTTTATTAAAAAAAAGAGTTTATAGAAATAATTATTTATAAAAACCATTTATAGAATTTTTTTATTTTTTTTTTATAAGCTTCAATAAATTTCATACTATAAAATTAAATTTTATAGTATAAAATTTAATTAAATAAATGTTTTATTTTAATATAATTTATTAACTTCATTTAACTTATTAAATACCAGAATATATTCGAACAGAATATTTATTTATTTACTAATTTTATAACATTTAACAATATTACTAATTAAAGATAATGGATGATAACTAGATTTTATAAATATAAAAAGATAAAGTTTATTACCTGTTTTTATTTTATATTTCTATCTTTGCAATCGAAAGAAGCTTAAAAATTTACAGTGATTTACTTTAAAAAAATATAATTAATTTTATTATTATTTTAATTTAAATTACTGCAATTTATTTTTTGCACAGAATATATATTATTTAAAACAGAAAATAAATACTTAAAACCAAACTTTTAGTTATAATTAACTTATTGGAAAATTTGACTTAAGTGCCTTAAGAGGTCCTAATGAGGTATACTAATGGCTTATTTTAAAGAGCATTTAACTAGGAAGTTCACATGTCCATTCTTACTAATAAGACAAAGCATGCCCAGACCTTGTATTAAACCCTATAAACAAATAAATATATAATATATATATATATATATATATATATATATATATATATATATATATATCCTCCCATAATTATTAAACCCTATAAACAAATATATAATATATATATATATATATATATATATATATATATATATATATATATATATATATATATATATATTAAACCCTATAAACAAATAAATATATAATATATATATATATATATATATATATATATATATATATATATATATATATATATATATATATATATATATATATATATATGTATTATATATTATATATATATATATATATATATATATATATATATATATATGTATTATATATTATATATATATATATATATATATATATATATATATATATATATATATATATATATATATATATATATATATATATATATATATATATATATATATATATATATATATATATATATATATATATATATATATATATCCTCCCTATATATATATATATATATATATATATATATATATATATATATATATATATATATATATATATATATATATATATATATATATATATATATATATATATATATATATATATAAATTAGTTTTTAAAATTTTCACATAAATATAGTACAACTAAAGTAACTTGCTTACTTACTTTCCTTACATCCATAACTAAATAGCTCATTTTGTGTCTTTTTTTTTCATTCTTTAAAATCATCTGTTTAATTAATAGATCTGAGATATCTATATTAATGATTCTTTCATACCCAACATCATACATATTCTCACTTAGTTGTGAATTTCCACAACCCACCATTAAAATATTGCTGGAAATTTTGCAGTATTGGTGAATAAATTTACAAAGATCAGCATATTCTCCATACCATTCAAATGCAGTTTTTCGTTTAGTAAAAAAACTGTCCCAGTATGTTTTTGTGGCAAATTCCTCTTGAAATTTTGGTATTTGTATAGACATTTCTTGTAAGCAAATTAAATTGATAACTATATCACATCTTTTCTTTATCATCATAAAATCATCCTCATCGTCATCATCATCATCATCATCATCATCATCATCATCATCAATAACAATAATATATATATATATATATATATATATATATATATATATATATATATATATATATATATATATATATATATATATATATATATATATATATATTCATATATTTATATAATTTTCAAATGAATAACAATTTAAAAACAAAAAATTTTAACAACATCTTTTATCAACATTAATTGATATCATCAGGTAAAAAAAAATTACAATTTCTATATATAAACAATTTATTTGGCTGCATTAAAAATTTAATATTTTTACAATTGTTACCATAATTACATTTTATAAGATAAGTAATTACCATGAAGAAACTCTGACAATAATAGAAAAAGAGTCAGTTGAGTTTTTGCATTTTTGCGTTGAAGTAAGATGTTTGTAAATATAGGATGCCTTATTTAAATTTAAATGTTCTGAAACCGTTCTTGTGTAGTGTCTGGTGTTTTCACCAATATATTCAGCATTACAGCTGGAGCAAACAAATTTATAGACAACAAAGGATTTTAAATTTGGGGGTTAGGGGTCTTTGATGAAATCATACTACATATTTTAAAAGTTGTAAAAACTAGTCTTGCTTTTATATTATCTTTACAATATTTGAAATGTATTTAATTAATTGATGTTAAAATGTATTTGAAAATTTTCCAATATAAGGGAGTTTAAAGTAATGTATATCAGATGGTTTTGGAGATGACATGTTTTCTTTAGGAGAGATAAGATTGTTTAGTCAATTTTTGAAGGTTTTGTCAATTAAGTTGAAAGCAAAAGAGTTTTTTTGGAAAGTTTATTTAGTTTTTACAATTTCTAGATGAAAACTTGCTGTTTTTTGAAGGCCCTATTGATCAGAGTTTTAATAAGTCCTAGTTCATAATTAGTGAAGCTTTTAAAATTAGTTTGTAAAACTGTGTATTTTTTTTTGTAAAATTTTGAAGTATTAAATTTATAATTTACAGAGTTAATAATTATATCAATAAAGTTCAATTTGCGATCAACCTCTTTCTTTTTAGTAAGTTTGGGATAACTTAATAAACTTAAGAACAGTCACAGTAAAGGGATGAGACTTCATTGACGCATAAATTCATGAGAATGAATTTTAGTAGATAGCACAAGAGACACTAGCGCCATCATAGTATTTGTAGAAAAGAGAAAGAGAAGCAACATTAAGATGTGACAATGTTTGGAGATTGGCTGCAAGAACAGGTCCAACTATGTTTACAATTATGCACCTTATGAAAAAAAGAAAGAGCATCATTGGAAGATCCACCCCAGATATGGCAACTATTCCATAAAAGTATGACAGAATCAATAGTAAGAATGTGGCAAGCCTGATAAGGAGATGCATGCTATTTTATTTTGAAATGGATTTGATATATGGTTTCTGAGAATGATCAGAGGTAAGAGTTAATTCTAGGAGCCAAAGTGTAGATGATACATCAAGTATATTTCATTCATAAAAATAGAAAGATCTCGAATATTGTAATAACGATTAGCTAAAAACTATTAAGTCTTGTCTGAGTTAAAGTTCATTAGCCATTCAAAGCCTCTATATATATATATATATATATATATATATATATATATATATATATATATATATATATATATATATATATATATATATATATATATATATATATATATCACCGTTCTCCTAAATGAGCGATTAGTGTCAACTCAAATTCCAAAGAAACCACAAGCTTTCACATGCCTGTGAAAGCTTATGACTCCTGGATTCCAAAAATATAAAAAATCAAATCATCCTATTATGTCAGAGAAAGAAAATTACTTTTGAAAATTTTTATTTTGCACATATTCATGAAATGACAGCATTCTCGAAATTTTACATTTTTACAGAATATCTTAACATTTAAAAAGCTCTTTGAAAATAATAAAACCTACTTAACATAATAAAGAAACAAAAAATATGAAAATGTGAAAGATTTTATGTTATAAAATTGGTAGTAATCCAAATAGGTAAAAGATCACTTGGGTAAAATATTGCTTTTCTGAAAGTTTTTTCTAATAAGTTGACTCTAGAATAATTTCATTAATAGTTTGGTAGTAATCCAAACATTCTTGACAAAAAAAATACTTTACAAATTCCTAACTGTTCACAGACTTTTGCTGTTAAAATCAGCTAGGCACATTTCTAGCCTTTTTCCATAATCTGGATGGCTGATAGGTCGTTTGTATCGTTGCCAATGGTTCTGAAAACAATGATGAATAGATTCTGTTGCTTGCTCACTGTAGATTCCAAGAGGAGACCTTGTTTTTTGGATGAAGTCCTTAACATGGAAAAACACTGCATGTACTTTTGGAGTGATGCTTCCTCTTGGCAATGCCAAATATGAATCTCTGAATGAATCAATTTTTTCTGCATAAGTGCAATCCAACTTGCAGAAACAATGGGACCAAACTTTCGAAAGCTGTCAATGATGCTGAAAACTTGAAAGGCACTGTCATTTTCAGCCAGTGTTTGGAGAAGGTCGAAATTTTTGAGGAGCTTGTGGCAATCATTCCTAGCAAATTGACCACCATGAAAAGGTTGGGGCTGAATCTGCCAAGCTTGGAGCCATTCAGCTGATTCGGGCCAAAGGTCTGTTAAAATCTTGAACAGATGGTTAACAACCCCAAGCTGTAGATAAAGCTCCATTGGTGGAATAAGATCAAGCACAAGTGCATCATCATCAAGTGAGAGAATAGGGTCATGAATTACTTTTCTAAACATTTTGCTTTCTTGATGTCAGATCCAGCTGCTGTGTAGGTTTTGTGTGCTTGCTTTAAAGATCTAAAAGTCCTCAGAGTACCCCTGTTTGCAAGGTTAGAGCTTTCCACAGTGCACCATGTGCATGGATGAGCTGAAGCATGTGATTGCAATCCACAAATTATATTTGCCAACTTCATATCACACGAGACAACAAAGTTGATTTCACTGATTGAAATGAGAGAGAGAATGAGCTTTACATTGGAGTAATTCTCTTGAACTCCTTTAGCAACTGCAACCAGAAGTTGCTGTTTTACTCCAGAATCCTTGGACGTTGAAGATGTCAGAAATCTTTTGTTTGGCGGAGACACAACTTCACTATCTGCTTCATTTTGTTTAACTCCAAGGTAGACTTTAAGAAAACCTCCACCACCATCTATTCCAAGTTTAATGATGTGTTTTAAAAGTACTTGTCCTTGAAAGTAGAACTTCTTCAGTGAGTGCTTGGAGATTTTTGCAATGGACAACAACACTTTGAGACTTCTTTTAATGAATGTTGTTGGGGTTTGTGTAAAGTGTTCTTCTAGACTTTTTCCGAGATCCTGGAACTTGTGCAATATATTTGGTTCTAGAACTTTGGCAGGCGAAACATGCCTAATGGTGAAAGTCAGCTTTTTTATTCCACTGTTTGACAATCCTGTATTTAGTTAAACTTGAGCAAGATCCTTTGCGGTGACTACAGCTGGATCTTTGAACAACTGCTTAGAGCAGAAAGGACCTGTTAAAGAGTAAAACATAATATTTCAGTTACTTAAATGTGATAGTCGACCTTAATGGAGAATTATATACAAACCTTGTGTGATTGGGAGCAGTCCTCCTCCTTTTGGCTGCACAAGTCTAATGGTTCCACAAGGAGAAAATTCTTTGCTGACAATTGTTGAGCTGGCAATTTGTTCTGCCACAATTCCATCAGATTTTGCAAGCTCCCTTAAGTTTTCACGGAACTGTGATGAAGAGCAATGATGGGGTAAACCTCGACCAATAAGAGAGAGACATGTAGAACATCTTCTGTCTGATTTTTTCTCTCCAGTTTTTGTTCTTTCAAGAGGGTGTTTCTTTGTCAGTTTATGTTGCCCTATGTCACAAATCAAGCATTCACAAGCTTGACCACGTGTGTGAACTTTTATATCAATGGTTTCAAATTGAAACAGCTTGGGCAAAACAACCTTCTGCCCTTGATCACACTTTCCAAGGGCCAGTCTACACAGATCACAAAGACCTTAAGGAATTCTTGGATCATCAAAGTTGAACTGCTTTTTGTAGTTGTTTTGAATTTTGCTGACCAAAAATGGTGTCAATTTACAATTTCCTTTTTTAAGACACATGATACGAACAACTTTTCTGTTCTCATCATGACTTCTTGCATGATTAGGCATTTTCAATTTATTTCAAGAGAAAAGGTTAAAAAATTGACCTTCAAAAGCTTTGATTTGTAGTAAACTGCCTTTTCCCGGAAGTTTTTGGTAAATTTTTAAAAATAATTTAAAATTACCAATATTATTCAAAAAGTGCAATGTATATATGTATATATATATATATACATATATACATTATATATATAATGCTACAGTCTCCCTGGGAAGGGCCTCAAAAACTGTTTTAATTTTATCCACTAACTGGGCTTTTGTATTACTGGAAGTGCGATTGGTGTCTTTTTCAACTGCACCCCATACAAAAAAATCCATGGGGTTAAGGTCTGGGGAGTTTGGAGGCCAAACATTTGGACTGGTGAAGTCGTAGAAATTTTCAGACAACCATTTTTGACTTTTTCCAGAGGTATGGCAAGGGGCCAAATCCTGCTGCCATACATACGGCCTACCATTGGCTACCCTTGTTATCCAGGGCTTGACTACGGTGTTCAGCAATTCCACGTAGCCATCTGAAGTCAACTTGAGGTCCTCTTGGAAAAAATGCGGAGGCATCACATTGCCTTCAGAGGATACACCAAAAACCATCTCAGTTTAGGGAAATTTAGTCTGCATTACACAAGGAATGTCCTTTGTACTGCATACAAGCTATATGTTATTCTGCGTGTTGTGTTTTTGATCCTGGCAAAAGTTTTTCTCATCGGAAAAGAACCAGATTGTTTGTGGTTCCACAGGATGTTTCACTTTGTCTAGAAGTTTCTTCGCGTTTATCAAACATTTTTCACAGACCTTTTCTGTGAGTAGCTGACCTTTGCGGCGCTTGTATGAGTAGT